ATGATGGTGCATTGCGTGGTGTGGATGGAATCTATCTTCGAATCCCTGGATTCTCTGATTGTAATGCTGAACTTGCTCTTTCAGCAAAGCATCTTCAACCTGGAAATCACATCACAGACGTGAAATGCCACATATTTTCAAGTCTCAATTATACTAGGGTGGGTTCAAAAGTTTGGAGACTTTTTGAAATAGATCCAACAGATTTTCAACAATCCCAAAAAATGTCTTCACTCACACAACCCCATCATTTGGCACACTTCACTCCGGTTCAACATACTCTCCACCGATTTTTTTCATGCAATATATTGTACAAATACAAGTTATACAACAATATAGCAGTGCCAAAAATCGAGTTGTGTTACTTGTTGAGGCACCCTGCTGTGAGTCGATCTGGCTGTTCCTGACGGTGGCGAATGACGTGAAAGGGATTGATTTTGAGGACAGGTACAGCCTCATTTCCACCGTCAAAGAGCAGCCTTAATCAATCAACAGACCTTCGGTTTTGGCACTGTTTCGATCGTTAGATTTATTGCAACAAAAAAATCATTGAAATCGGCGGAAAAAGTGCTTAACAGCCCTGAAGCGTAGTAAAATGATGGGGCTATATGTGGGTAGCACTTTTTTGGAATTGTTGAAACTCCGTTGGATCTACAGTGTTTCAAAATTTATGAACCAACCATCGTAAGCGTTGATTGAAGGAGCACCTCTTCACGCATTCCCAAAAATTTAAGCAACAATCGCCCAATCCACAAGAAAAGGTTCGAAAATTTTCTCAAATATCTTCAGAAATAGTTCACCCTAGCGTTAAACACAGTACGACTTCGTTAGGGTGAATTTTTCATGGAATATTGCTGACTTCAAAATTTCAATAAGTACCTCGGCATTCTGCTCGTCGAATTCAAGACAACCAGCACCGTCCAATCGTTCCAAATCAACCCAACCCCTCCATCTCACACAAACGCCATTCATGATGATCGAAGCATTGATGTGAACCTGTAAAAATATCATATGTTGTAACATTGAAAGTTTTGAAACACATTTATATTGAAGCGTGAGTTCTTCAAATAGCCAGAAATGTTCGCAATAAAGCCGAATTTAAATTTGATACAGTTATACATCGATCGGTTTCAGTATCATGAGATCTATTACTTCCAGGAATTCATGGAAAAAGTCAAGAAACTCAATCAAAATGTAACGACGTGTTTTAAAAGGAAGTGAAAGACTAATTCGTCAAATGAACCCTTGCCTTTGAGTTCAGCATCCTGTCAACTCACTGTAGAAGTGATTTAAGCCCTGAATATCACGATAATTAAGATGTTCTGTGATTATTCGTTCTCTTATCTCCAAGAAAAATGCTTTTCCAAAAATCGAATTCTTTACTGCCCCGTCGAAGTTCGATCTGAATACATTCGAACGGAATTTTAATTTCTTTCGGAAACATTTCCAGGAATACACTTTTTTGGATGAATTGTGGACGACTCGGTGGTCTACTCAGGTGCGACATCTATCCCACGTCACTTCTACTTCAGTACTACCCCTGCCTTCGCACTCATCATTCAGTATCCCAGTCATAGAGGCAGCTTCAATAACTCACCCAACAAACCACCGTATCAAGTCGAGCTGTACAACAAGAAAATTCTTCATCAACACAGTAACGGAGAAACTTCACCAGATAGTCATTTTGCGGGGCATAGTTGACGGTGTCTTAAATTCACAGATTAAGCAAATGCGGCACAAAGTTATTGTTTTCGCGAGATTCAATAAAACTAGATAAAGCTGAATACATATTCCATTCACAGTACCTTCCCAGGTTCCGAATCAAAATCTGGTGGCAGTCCATGCATGTGAGGAGCATGTGGCTGATGATGAGGCCCAGTGAAACCGTTCGCAGCCGGAGTGAAGATCAACTGGAAATTTATTCCAGATCCCAGGAAAGCCTGAATTATCAAATGAACAACATTTTTCATCAACTGAACACACGTGAATTGATACACGAAAAAAATTCAAGTGTCTGNTCCAGCATAAACTGCATCCGCCATACATTGTTTCAATGAATCAACTTGAGTCTTCTACGAAATTCCCCTTTGTTTTTCATGAATTGCGTGGGTTCGGAAATACAGTGCAGTAGTCCAGGTAGATTGAAACGAATATTCACAACAGGAATCCTCATCTTGTAATAAAGTTTCAACCAATCTCAAGTTGAAAAGAAAACATGAGAAAAGGTTCGAAAGAAACCGCAGCAAGAATCAGGGAGAGAATTGGTGAGGGTTTAAGGGCGATTTTACCCTGAAACGAACCTACAGGTACAAACGAAGTAAATCTCATACCAGTTCTGTATGTCCATCTCGAACTCCGTTCTGAAAACGCGCTCTGCGTTCTTCCATGGGTCTGTCACGGTATCCCGTATACCTCACCTGTACAAGGATATACATCTTCCAGTTGGACACACGATGATTTGAACACGTTGACATCAAAAATCTCACCTCTGCTTCCCTGCTGAGCTTCTTAAAAATATCGTCTCCCTCGAACCTGGCCTTTTGATCCGGAATGACCCTCGGAATGTGAAGTAAGAAATGTCTGGGAGGCTTGGCTTGATGATGAGGGTCCAATGGACCCGTCACGCAGTCATACGGCAACATCATTCGTCGGTTGTCGAAGATGTTCATGAAAGATGAACGCGGAATTTCTTCCCACATCTTAGCACAGACCTTCACTCAGCTTAGGCGATTTCCTCAGCACTAAAACAATGACGCAGATTTATTTACAATGGATTCATCGGAGAAAAATCGCGGTGGAAAAACATCGCAGTTATCTTCAATGAAAATCAAGAATCAAAAATTACAATGCATTGCACCTCAAAAAATACTTCTCGTATATGGGACCCGAACACACTTCAAGGCAAAAAGAGAGAACATCACTCGCACGCCTCGCTGGAATTCGGCAGGTTGGAGAGGGGCAAACTCGTGGGATGATCTTACGCTTCCTTTCTTCACCAGGGCGTAACGATCAGGCAGCAGTGTTGCCGGTTGCCATGACCTTTCGGGTCAGTCCTAGTTTCTCTTGTCCAAATACCTGGCTAGAGAATATATGGAAGTTTACAGGCAGTGATTTACATAAGTATCTACATAATTTAGTTTTTTTCCCAGATAGATAAATGAGGAACACAGACTTCATTCTGATTCGAAATGTTTTTCAGGTTGTTTGGTAACCATGCGACGCTGGCTATGTTCCCAGCGAGGGATGGATGAAAACGAGGGCATGAGGGCGGAACAGGGGGACTTCAACGGCTAGTTAACAATGGTTCGCCTGTCCGGCCGAAATAACATGCCCAAACGGATATGTTCAAGGTACTGCTGTACACAGTGTACAGTCACCCCTGGTTAACATTCTGTTTGGTTAACGTTTTTTCAGTTAACATTCCCAATCCTTCCCAAAAATTCCCTCAGTTAACGTTCCCAAACTCAGTTAACGTTCTGCAGTTGTGCAGCACCATGTGATGAATGTGGATGCCTCCCTCCCTCCCTCCTGTTAATTTTCTTTAATGTGACTTTTTCCACAGCTTTAAGTGTGTTTACTATGTGGTGGTGTGGTGTTACAATTATTTTATGAACAATTGCAGTGTCAGACACTGAATTTTGGGTATCACTTGGACCTTTCCTTGTTTTTTTGTCTTCTAAGGTTTCAGTTTTTCAAATAAGTTTTTCAAAAAATTGAACATGCCAAAATCAAGTGCTGCCAAAAAGAGGAAAGTATTCACTCTTGAAGATAAGAAGAGCATTATTGAGAGACTGCAGAATGGTGAAAGGCAGATTGACTTGGCCAGTGAATTTGGCATAGCCAAGAGCACCATAGGCACAATGTGGC